CAAAACCCAAAACCTCCAATGAAGGAGAATTAAGAACATTTGTTACCACTGACATGTAAGTTTTTAAAAATAAGGAGGGCCAGCAAGATGGCTCAACTAGCAGGGGTGTTGTGTGCAAGTCCGACAATGGGAGTTGTGAGGTAATTATCTACAAGACACAGGAGACAAGGTGATATGACAGACGTCAACTCCTCTTAGTACACCTACTTTATGGCTCTGCTTTGGGGAACCATGTCGATGCTTCACATTTAAACAGTAAAATAATCTAGGTGTGGCAGTGCATGACTGTAATCCCAGTACTCAAGAGGCTGAGATAGGAGGATTGTGAGTTCAAGGCCAGGCTGGACTATATAGTAAATTGCAGGCTAGCCAAAGCTGCACAATGAGACCCTGCCTTAAAATAAATAGATAAAAATAGATAAAAAAAATATTAAATAAAAAGTTTTAAATTTTTATTTACTCATTTATTTTTAGTCAGGGCCTCTGTACTGGTTAGTTTTTGTCAATTGACACAAGCTAGAATTACCTAAGAAGGGACCCTCAATTTAAGAACAGTCTCCAACCAGGCAGTGGTGGCACACACCTTTAATCCCAGCACTTGGGAGGCAGAGGCAGGCCGATCTCTGTGAGTTCGAGATCAGCCTGGTCTACAAGAGCTAGTTCCAGGACAGCCTCCAAAGCCACAGAGAAACCCTACCTCACCCCCCAAACCCCCCCCCCAAAAAAAAAGAACAGCCTCTACCAGACTGGTCTGTGGGCTTGTTTGTGGGGAATTTTCTTGCTGAATGGTTGATGTGAATAGGCCCAGCCCAAGTGTGGGTGGGATCACCCTGGGGAAGGTGGTCCCTGGGTTGTATAAGCAAGTGAGTAGAGGAAGCCACAAGGAGCAAGCCAGGGAGCTGTCTTCCTCCCTGGTACCTGACTTCCCTCTGATGTGTAAACCCAGTTAACCCCTCCAGTTGGTTTGGATCAGTGTTTTACCACAGTACAGAAACCTAGCTAGGACAGTCTCACTCTAGGCCAGGCTGACCTGGAATTTACAGCTTTCCTCCTTCTTTACCTTCTCAAGTGCTGAGATTATAGGTTTACAGAAAACATCCCTTCCTCTAATGAGACAGACTTCATTTCTCTTGGGAAGGAGCCATTTACTTCAAGTAAACAGATCGGAATGTGCCTTACAAAGAAGTCTAATGGGGATTGCCTGGGGCAGACAGACACGACTAGGACCAGCAATTAAAAGTGAGTCTGCTAAGAAAGATGTCCCCTGATGGCTGTCAGCTGGGGCAATGGAACTAAGAACTGCCACTACTGTAGTAGAGAAACAGGGCATCCAGGCATGTTTTCCCTGATGCTCCTCCTTCCACAGTGAAACCCTGCCTTCAAAAGCAAAAAAAAAAGGGGGGGGGGGGACATGGGGAGGAGGACAGAGAACACATAGCTAAAACAGCAGGGTTTTAAGGAGAATGAGCAGTTTGGGGCAGGGCTAGGATGCTAGCAGGACTTTGAATTGTATAACAGGTATGAGTTTGTACTGAGGAGCCTAAAAGCCAGCTTGTGCTTTGGTATGCTAATAAGAACCACAGTTAGCCATTTGTCCTTTCTTCCTTTTGGAATTTGGGGAAACAGAGTTTCCTTTGGACCTGAGAACTTTATTTTGGGGGAAGGGGGGAGGGGCACAAGTATGGCTATGGTACCTGCTTGTGTAGGGGGTCAAAGAACAATCCAAATAAATCAGCTCTCTCCTTTCATCATACAGGTTCCGGGGAACCTAACTCAAGTCATCAGACTTGACAAGAGGTCAATAAGTACCGTTACCCCTGAGCCGTCTCGCTAGTTCTAGGGTTTTTAAAAATACATGTCAAGGATGGTAAAAGAAACACACTTAAGAAGAGAGAGACTTCAGTGAAACAGCACTGAAATAACCTTTTTTCCTGGTAAGTAACTGTAAGTAAAGGCTAATGACCTCTGGGCCTACGTGGAGCTGAGAAATCCTGGCCTGACAAAGAAAGCCCATGACCATGATGAGGACATCTGCAGGCAGTTAGCAGCTGGGAGAAGCCTGACAAGATGGTCACAATGATAAGAACATGTGCCTTGGCTTTGAGATTACAAAGAATTGATTGCTGATGGAATTTTCCTCCCCCAAAGCTCCCTTTCTGCCCTATAAAATCCTCAAGCTCCCTGCTCCTCCCACAGTCTCCACTCCCACAGAGGGACTGCTGCCCTTCCTGTCCTAATAAACAATAAGCATCTGCTTCAGGTGAGGTCAGTCATCACTTTCTGTTACTTTTCAGTAGCCATAGGCAATCCTCATCTAACAGTATGCTTGTGACTCAGGGTACAGGCTCAAGGAGGGGGGCAGGAATGTCATTCAGTGGTAAAGTGGCTCTCTAGCATGTCAAGACCTTGGGTTTGATCCTATGGAAGGGAAAAAAAAAGCCATTTAGCATTGTCATCTAAGAGTGAGTTTTCTGCCAATAGGATTATTTTTTTTCCTTAAATAAATCAGTTTAATTCATATCAGTGAAATATAAAATTACACCATACTTCCATGAATGATAACTCTATAAATAGCCTAGAATCATCTGGTTGTTGGCTTTTTTTGTTGTTGTCATCAACTCGACACAAGTTAAGAGTCACCTGGGAAGAGGAATCTCATTGAGAAAATAGCTCTATCAGATTTCCTATAGGCAAGCATATGGAGCATTGACTAGATTAAGGGCTGATGCGGGGGCATAGCTCACAGGTGGTGCCACCCCTGGGCAGGGTGTCCTGAGCTGTGTTAGAAATCAGGTTGAGGAAGCCATGACTTGTGAGTAGCTTCCCTCCATGCTCTCTGCCTCAGTTCCCGCTTTGGCTTCCCTCAACCGACTGTGACCTGGGATACATAAACCAAATGGATCCCTTCCCCACCATGTTGCTTGGGGCAGTGTTTCATTACACCAATAGAAAGCACACTAAGACAGGTCTATATTTCACATTTTGTGCATGAAATATAGTTTATAAAATACAGGTTGTTTTTATTCATAATGGCCAAAAGGCAAAAACAGACTGGCATGGTGGCTCAGTGGGTAAAAATCACTGGTCACCAAGTTTGATGACCAGAGTTCAATCCTCTGGACCCTTATGGAGTCAGAGAGAGCTGACTCCCCAGGACTGGCAGACGGCTCAGTGAGCAAATGCATCTGCTGCTGAGATTAAAAATCTGAACTTGATCCCTAGGACCTGTGTCGTTGGAGACAGAGAGAGACAGAGAGAGAGAGTGATCTAGTCCCAACTCCCTTGGATTGTCTACATAGGGAGTCTGAGGCCAGCCAAAGCTACATAGACAGACAAACAACAAATAAAGAGAGTTGACCTTCATTCACACCATGGTACACACACACACACACACACACACACACACACACACACACACACAAATATATATAAAAGAGTCACTTTGAATATGATAAAAATTTATTAAAGGCAAAAAGCAGCTGACATGCTCACCAACTGATGAACAGATAAACCATGATTAATTCACATAGTGGATATTGATACAAACTAAAACATGAGCAAGCATGAAATGCCTTGTGAAAGATGTCAGAGCTGCAGACCACAGACTCCATGACTATGGCTATGAAATGCCTGGAATAAACAAGTCCACAGAGGCAGAAATAGACTGATGGCAGCAGCTTCAAACTAGGACAAGGAGGATGAATAGGAGCTAAGTGAGAGCCCTGCTAATGGGTGAGCTGCTTACATTAGCAGGAACTTTAAGAAATCTATAGTTAGGTTGTTAACGGTGTCTACACTACTGTATCAAAAAATTTTTTTTTTCCTTTGTGTTTTGAGACAGGGTTTCTCTGTGTAACAGTCCTAGCTGTCCTGGAACTAGCTCTGTAGACCAGGCTGGCCTCAAACTCACAGAGATCACCTGCCTCTGCTTCCCGAGTGCCTGGCTCTAAATTCTTAAAGTCACTGAATTATTTCCTTGGGAGCAGGGGGGGAATGACACAGGGTTTTTAGAATATACTTATTCTGTGGGCATATTCATATTCATACAAGTGGCCCCATGCATGGAGGTCAGAGGATAGCTATAGCTAGTGGAAGTCGGTTCTCTTCTTCTACCGTTAAGTCCCAGGGATTGAACTCGGGTCTGTCGGAGATGGCAGCAAGCACCTTTATCTATCAAGCCACCTGTTCTCCTTCTGTTTGTTTGGGTTTTTCTGGTTTTTGTTTGGAGACAAAATCTCACTATAGCCCTAGCTGGCTGGAACTTGTTATAGATAGACACCAGACTGAACTCAAGCTTGTGTCCATGCTCCTGTCTCTGCCAGTTTAGTGCTGGACTTACAGGTGTTTACCACCACCCTGGCTAGCTCATTTACTAATCTTCCTGACATTTGCTACTAACAGTTCTCTTGCTGTTGCTGTTTTTTGAGACAGGGTCTCACTATGTATCCCTAGCTGTCCTCAAACTCATAGAGATCCCCCTGCCTCTGCTTCCTGACTGCTGGGATTAAAGGTGACTATCACTATGCCTGGCTGCCACTAACAGTTCTTATCCATTTGTCTTTTTATTTTGCTCACAGCATAGCTCTTCCTATACATTCTGGTGTTCCATACACTCTTTTTCCTTTCCCTCCTACCCTCCCTCCCTCCCTGCCTTCCAAGATTAGATCTTACTATGTAGCTCATGCTGGTCTTGAACCTGCTATGTTATACAAGAGACCTTAAACTCTGCCTCCCAATGCTGGGATTAAAAGTGTGTATGAGCAAGCTGGGTGGTGGTCTACAGAATGAGTTCCAGAATAGCCAGGACTGTTTCACAGAGAAATCCTATCTTGAAAAACTAAAAATCAAAACAAAACAAAAACCCTCTCTATTTTCTCCTAGTACATGTTATTTTATTTTAATGTTTCATTTGAATGGTCCATTCTTCACCTATTGGTCTAAAACTTGTGGCAAACTTGAATCTAAGTCTGGCCTGTAGATTTTGTTTAAAGGTGACTTACCTAATTTTTGAGCCCATATTATAGCGGTACCCGTATCTCCTGCATTGCCTTCAGCTAAACATACAACTTCTTGCCCAATCTTCCATCCAATTAATGGATAAAAGCCTTAGAAAGCAAGCAAACAAAACAACACTGTAAGTCATATAGCAAATACACAACTCATTGCAACACCAACCATAACAGTTTGACGATTGAAACAAACACATAGTGCTTACTCACTAAGCCCGCCTGAGTTCAAATCCCAGCCCTCACTAGGTGTGATCTTTCCTCCCCAAGTTGCTTCTAGTCATGGTGGTTTATCACAGCAATAGAAACCCTAACTAAAACAAGTATCAATTACAAAATAAATATATTAAGAGAAAACAAGAATATTTTGGAGCTTGTTATTTAGATAATGTATTTATTCTTTGCTATAACTGTAATTTTGTAACAAATGTAGGATTCTGTTAATAGTACCAAGAGTATTCATTTTGTTTGTTGTTGAGACCTCAGTTTGTAGCTGACCAGAACACAGCATATGTGGTCAGGATAGCATCCTACTTCATCCTTCCAAGTGCTGGAATTAAAGGTGTATGTATCTAGCTAGGCGGTGATGGCACACACCTTTAATTCCAGCACTCAGGAAGCAAAGGCGGGAGGATCTCTGAGTTCAAGGCCAGACTAGATTACAGAACAATTTCCAGGGCTACACAGAGAAACCCTGTGTCTGGGGGAAAAAATGGGGAATTGTTATACACATACAAAGAAACACAAGTGTAATGTCATCTTACTAACAAGATACACCCTGTCTATTTACCTCCATTAACATGCTGAGGGCTGTTTCCTGTATTAATATCCAAAAATGTCCCGGTTCCCATGGTTAATTTCACATCTCCTGTCTGGAAGCAGCACTCTCCAAACATGGCCGATTGCTGGTCACCAACCTGCCAAGGTGTTCAACCGTCAGATGTATACTCTACCAGCGCCTACTTATCATAGTCCAGCCCCCTTTACAGACTCTCATGATTACATATTTTACTTGATTTTTTTTCCAATTCCTTAAGTTAAAAATAAACCCCAAAGAGAACAATTGCATATTTCGGGGACTCACTGTGGACAACTGACTAGTTCATGACTTTTGTAAATGTGAGTAATTTTAGAAATGTCAGTATAAAAATTATACTGACAAACTATACCTTTTCATTTCTCCCCTCCAGGTTTCATTAATTTGTCAAGATAACTGTTGTCACAAACTTTTCTTTTACTAAGAGTGACAGAGCTATAATAAATAGTTAGAAATCTTAAATCATTCTTGTCATAAACATGTATCTCTCTCTCTCTCTCTCTCTCTCTCTCTCTCTCTCTCTCTCTCTTTCTCTCTCTTCTTTTCTCAAGACAGGTTTTCTAAATGTAGTCTTGGCTGTCTTGGAACTCCTGAGATCTACCTGGCTCTGCCTCCTAAATGCTGGGATTAAAGGTGTGTGTCAGGCTGGGCGTTGGTGGTGCCAGCCTGGTCTCCAGAGCGAGTGCCAGGATAGGCTCCAACGCTACACAGAGAAACCCTGTCTCGAAAAACAAAACAAAACAAAACAAAACAAAAAAAAGTTGTGTGTCACCACCGCCTGGCCTAAACTTGTATTTCTTGTTTTAAAAGATTTTAATTGTGTTACTATGGCTACATAGAAATACACATAAAACTGCTTATTTAACTTCCTGGAAAGTGCTGGAAATCGACTCTCCGGCCTCACATGGGCTGATGAGTTCTCTACACTGAGTTACACTCGGAACTCTATTTTTATTCTTCTTAGAGACAGGCTGCTGTGCTCACCGGGTAGTCCCACCTCCTCTCGTACCCCACCCTCCTGAGTAGCTGGGACTATTTGGCACTGCAGAGCACTTGCCTTATCTGCACACAGTCATGGTCACTAGCACCATATTAAACAAAGAAATAAAATACAAAATAAAAATAGGACTGGCAAGATAGCTCAGCAGATAATCATTTGCCACTAAACTTGACTGAGTTTGATCCTTGGGACCCCTACACAGTGGATTGAGAACTAATTCCTGGAAGTTGTCCTCTGACCTCTACACCCATGCCATGGTATCTACGTATAAACACAGACACACACACACAAAAAAATGATAAATGTTTAAAAAATAAAAGACAAACCCTTTTGAGGCCAAGCATAGCTGAACACACAATCCCAACACTGGAGAGTCTAACAGGAGGATTTTAAGTCACAGGCAAGCCTGGACTAATAACAGGATCACATGCATGCAATCCCAGCCCTTTGGAGACTACGCGGCTCACACAGAATTCAAGTCTATCCCAGGCTACATAATAAGACCCTGTCAATTGGAGGTGATGGTGGCACATGCCTTTAATCCCAGCACTTAAGAGGCAGAGGCAGGAGGATTTCTGTGAGTTTGAAGTCAGTTGGGTCTACAGAGCTAGTTCCCAGACAGCTAGAGTTGTTACACAGAGAAACCCTGTATTGAAACTCCCCCTGCCCAAAAAGTCCTGTCATTCATAAGTCAAATTTACTTTAAAAAATCAAAATAAATAACCCCCTTTTTTTTATTATTCACAGCCATACCTTAATCTAACACTAAGCCTATCCTCAGCAATTGTTTTGTTTTTATACTGGCATCTATCTGGGCAGTTGCATGCTAAGGGTTTGGTAACATCCGAATATAACTTCCTCCCCTAATGTCAATTGCTTACTTACTGATCTGGGCTATTCTGATGAAATATAAACTAAGCAGTGACCCCTTACTGCTTTTTTTTTTTTTGTAATTCTTAAATTTAATTTTTTTTATATGCACTGGTGTTTTGCCACGGGTGTTGGGTCTTCTGGAGCTGGAGTTACAGACAATTGTGAACCATCATGTGGGCGCTGAGAATAGAACCAGGGTTCTCTGGAAGAGCAGTAAGTGCTCTTAACTGCTGAGCCATCATCTCTCCAGACCCCCCCCCCACCGGTTTTAAAACCACAGCATCAACAGAAGGAAAATATTACTCAGAACACAGAATCTTTAGAAAAAGTAATGGTTGGAAATGATTATAGAGTACTTCCACCGTAGAAGACTGGCCGGTGGTCCTCCTCCCAGAATACAGGGGATGCTTCTCATTATATGCCCACCCTTTCAACTTCAAAGAAAATAAAAAAGCTACTAGGCATATGTCTGTTTCTTCAGTGCTGATATAGAACCCAGGGCCTTATACATGGTAGCAAATGCTCTAATACTAACAGGAAGATCACAAAGATCTGCCTTCCCGAGCCCCTGAGTACTGGCATTAAAGCCATGAGCCACCGCACCTGGCTCAGGCATTAGTTTTAGTCTACCGAAGACCTTTATTTCTCTTAAAGCTAGTTCCCAACTCTTCAAACATATTTATTCATTTAGTTTTTATTCCCATGTCTTGTACTTACCAAGGCAACAACTGGTATAGGAACACCAAATATCTCTTCATCCACTGATCCAAAATTATGGCTTCAAATAAGATTGGAGAAAAAGTTAATTGTTTCTCTGGACGCAGTCATTCTAAAATCTGGCAAACTGCTTTTTGAACAGGCTACAGCATTACAGAACTGATGCAGAAGCATCAAATGCATTAAAAAAAAATCCCTTTCCCCGTCAAAGCACAAAGAATTGGAAGGCAGTTTTGTGGGTTTGTGTCTGATTTACCTTGTGTCCTTCACAGGAGGCAGGATAGAGAGCGGTATGGAAACCACGTTGGCTATGATCTTGCTCCAACACATCTGAGCATGAAAATAGGGTGTCAGGATATGCAAGCTCGAATGCTTCACACCTCTACCCACAGTGCAAAACATCCCATTGTATGCAATAAACAGAGCCAAGGATTGTCAGCTACAATCAGTTAAAAAAGAATCTAGTCTAAATAAAGAAAAAACTGGTGATTCAAAAAAGAAGATAAAAGTCTTTACCCCAAATGGATCAAAAAATCCAGTTGTACTGGCATTTGAATAATCCGTGGCATACGAAGAACCTAAATTTACATTAGAAATAACACATTTATTATCAGGTAATATAAATCACCTAACCCTGGTGTATAATCTAGACCTTTGTCTATCTTCAAATTCATCCTAAAATGAGTGTTTGCAACAATCAGGTTTCCAGGAAAATTCCCACCCAATCTTTATGAGCCTTTTTTTTATAATTTGTGTGTGTGTGTGTGTGTGTGTGTGTGTGTGTGTCACAGCACACAAGAGCAGAAAAGAGGACAATTTTGAGAGTCTGTTCTCTTCCACCACGGGTTCCAGGGGTCAGATTTGGTGCTCAGGTTTGGCAGCAAGGTGTCTTTTATCTGTTGATTCTTCTCACCAGGCCCTTCCCCACTACATACCACTGTCTACATAGGGAGGTCAGAGGACAACTTTCTGGAGTCTATTCATTCTCTCTACTATGAGGGTTCAAGGGACTATCTCAGGTCATCAGACTTGGTAGTAGGCATCCTTACCAGCTAAGCCATCTTACCAGTCCCTGAATGTCACAAAAGTAATTTTACAGCTAAAACCTGGGGATCCTGAGTTTTAAGGGAAGGGGTGTAGAGATGTTAACTGCCACCCCCCACGCTCAAAGTATATCCAAGTACAGTGTTATCACTGTTTTATCTATTTTTTTCTACATTTAAAGTTAGATTTACTTCCTTTTATGTGTATTAGTGTTTCACTTCTATGAATGTCCATGCACCCACCACATGCAAGCCTAGTGGCCTGCTCGTCAGAAGAAGGCACTGGAACTGGAGTTAGAAATGGTTGTGAGCCAACATGTGGGTCTTTGGCAATTAACAGCTGAGCTACCTCTTGAGCCTCTTAAATTATTTTTTTTAAGTTAGGACACAAATCAATGTGTGTCATTATGGCATTTTCATATATGTTATTTCACTTTATTCTAATTTGTCTCCCCCCTATGCCCCATACCCATTCTAACTTTTTCCTTCCTTCCCCTAGACAGACTGTCCTTTTGATTTGATGTCATATGTATTCCATCACTCTCTTTGTTCCCATCCCTTAAAAAAAATCTCTTCTTTCTCTCATGATCCTCTGGTTTAATGACCCAGACCCCCCTACACACACACACACACACATACCCTTAAATATAGGTACCACATATGCAAGTTAATGGGGTATCTTTTCTTCTAAGTCTGGGTTACCTCACTTAACATGATTTCCACTTCTGTTCATTTTCCTGCAAATGTCACCACTCCTTCTTTTTCAACTGAACAAAACTGCATTATGTTTGTAACACATTTTTCTTGTATTAGTTATATGTTGGTGGATTTCTAGGGTGGTTTCTTTTCTTGGCTATGTAAATAGAACAACAATAAACAGAGAGGTGTAGTTATCTCTGTGGCATGCTTAGACTCCTCCAGTTATATACCAGAGTGGTATAGCCAGGCCATACGGTAACTCTCTTTTAACTTGTTGAGAAGCCTCCATGCTGGTTCCCACTGTGGCTGCAAAAGCTTCCATTCTCAGCAGCAGCAGTGACTAAGGCCCCCTCTCCCCACATCCTCACCAGCATTTGTTGCCATCTATCTTTTGTTTTTGATTTTTGTTTTGAGACAACGTCTCTCTCTATTGCCTTGGATGTCCTGGAACTTGCTATGTAGACAAGGTTGGCCTTGTACTCATAGAGAATCACTTGCCTCTGCCTCCCAAATGCAGAATTAAAGGCCTGAGCCACCACACCAGGCTTTATTTATCTTCTTGATGATAGACATTCTGATCCGGGCAAGATGGAATTCAAAGCAGTTTCAATTTGTATTTCCCTCAATACTAAAAATAATGGACAGTTTTTAAAGTAATTATGGGGCATTTCTTCTTTAAGATGATTTTTGGGGGTTGTGTTTAATTTTTATGTTCTTTAAATATTCATATATTAATCCCTGATCTGATGTGTAGGTGGCAAAGATCCCCCCCACACTCTGTAGCCTGTTTCTTTATTTATGACCGTTTCCTTTACCATGCAGAAGCTTTTAGCTTCAAGCAATCCTCTTTACCAATTATTGGGATTATTCCTGTGCTAACAGTCCTTTCCAGAAAGTCCTTGTCAATAACATATCCTGATACCTTTTGACATTATATTCTAAGAGTTTTAGTTTCATATCTTACGTTAAGATCCGGTTTTTTAAAAAAAGGTTTATTTTCTTTTTATCTGTGAGTGTATGTGCACCTGTCTGAAAGTGCCCACAAAGGCCAGCCAAGGGTGTGGAATCCCGGGAGCTAGAGTTATAGACAGTTTGCTGCTTGATACATAGTGAGCCAAAATCGGGTCTTCTGGAAGGGCAATAGAAATATTTTTAACCATTGAGCCACCTCTCCAGCCCCAACTAATCTGCGATTTTTTTATCTTTTTTTTTGTTGTTGTTGTTGTTTGTTTTTGTTTTTCGAGACAGGGTTTCTCTGTGGCTTTGGAGGCTGTCCTGGAACTAACTCTTGTAGACCACGCTGGTCTCGAACTCACAGAGATCCGCCTGCCTCTGCCTTTCAAGTGCTGGAATTAAATGCGTGTGCCACCATTTCTTCTCTTGATTTAGGAAATTCTCTGCCATAATTTCATTGAATAGATCATGCTTTTTAGTGTTCATCTCTTCTATTCCACGAATGTTTAGCCTTGGACTGAATTTCACATTCCCAGACTTGTAGGACATTGTGGTCATATTTGTTCATTTTTTCCCCTTATTGGTGCCTGGATGTCATACTTCATGAATTCTGGCCTCTGTCCCTTTTCTTCTTTCTTCTAGTTGGTCAAGTATATTGGTGAAACTTTCCACTGTGTTTTTTTATTGGATTCACCGAGTTTTTCATTTCTAACATTTCTTTGGGACAGGGTTTCTCTGTCGATTTGGAGCCTGTTCTGGAACTTGATCTGTAGTCCAGGCTGGCCTTGAACTCACAGAGATCTGCCTGCCTTTGTCTCTTGAGTGCTGGGATTAAAAGCACGAAGCACCACTGCCTGATTCATTTCTAACATTTCCATTCACTGTTTTTTTGGAATATCAATTTTCTTGCAGAACACTTCCTCCATGTGGTCATCCAGATGGCTGATGTTTTCTTTTAAAATCCTGACCTTCCTTTTCAGGCCTCGAATTCAATTAATCTGCTTGTTTGCGTCCGTCATTTTTCACCAATAGTCTTGAAATCTTCACCTCACGTTTTATGAAGTTCAGTCATTGAGAAACTATGGCCTTCTGAAGGAGTCATGCTGCTTTATCATTGTGCTTGTGTTTCTGTGAAATTTGGCTGCATCCTCCAGTTTCATCTGGGGATTTTCTTAAGCAGCCAGCTCAAGGCTCAGTCCCCGATATGACTCAGTGAAGGGAACACATGGTAGGGTTGGGTACGTGGCTGCTTGCTATTCCCCTACTCCTCACAGAGCTGTGAGGCCCAAGCTGTATTCAGTCTCTGCATTGTTCATCTTCGTCTCTACCCTCAAGGGTTTCCTTTCATGTCCTTTGTATGTTTCTGAAGCTCTTTCTCTCTTTGGAATGAAATCCATTTCTTCTTCTTCTTTTTTCTCTTTTTTTTTTTCTTCTTTTTCTTTTTTTTCTTTTTCTTCTTCTTTTTTTTTTTGTTTTTTTGAGACAGGGTTTCTCTGTGGCTTTGGAGGCTGTCCTGGAACTAGCTCTTGTAGACCAGGCTGGTCTCGAACTCACAGAGATCCGCCTCCTCCACCTGCCAAGTGTTGGGATTAAAGGCGTGCGCCGCCACCGCCACCACCACCCAGCTGAAATCCATTTCTTCTTATTCTGATTCTTTCACTGTCAAACATGGGGGTGCCACTTCTAGCCCCCCATTTTACCTGGAAGTCTAATTTTAGCACTCTGAAATTAACACTGCTCCCCAAGTCTTAGACTTTGAGGTTTCATCAGCATTGTAAAACCATTGTCCCCTTCCAAAAAATTGGAAATAAATCTAGTTTTATTGCAACATGTTGTTACTAGTGTGCCAAAGAGCAAAATGTTTGGGATATGGAAAGAAAAATAACTGTGATGGAAGTTATCTCTACTCTCTTTTAGGTAAATCTGGTTAAGAGGTCTGTGAGGTCACCTTTACCTTTTGTGAGCTTATGTAACAGCCACGTGTCAATAGTCCCAAAGCAGCAGTTGTCTTCTTCAACTGCCTTTTGCACCTTAAAAATAGAAGAATGTTTAGTCAATTCAAACGGAATACAGAATAAAGCACATGAAAAAAATACAGATCAATAGATACACTATCATCTCAATTATGAAAAATACACCTAGAAAAAATATTATTTCTAGAATGCATTCCAAAGATTTTGATTAGCAGTGAATGGGATTTAGAAGGGAGCACCTTCTATCATCTATGTGGTTCACTGAGAAATTTAGGTTTTACACCAACACATATTTTTACAAAAGGGTGAAAGATTTTAGTTTGCTGACAAAAAAAGTTTTGAAAGATTTTAGTTCACAGACAGAAAAAGTTTCTCACAGGCCTTGGCCCAGTACAAGGAAGTTGGCCCCAACCCGAGGGCAGACAATCCTTTTATGGTCACACCTGGCTGGCCAACAGACAATCAAGGACTTTTCAGGGTACATTCTATGGTTTTTCCTTTGTAGAAAAGCAGGTCACACCTGGGTGACCACTCTAACATGAGATCATACTTTGTAATCATTCATTTTGTGCCCCTTGCCTGTATGCTGATCTGTGGTTTTTTTCCTATATAAGGAGCTTGTACCCCATGCTGGGATGTGCAGCTTTCCCGGTATTGCTGACACCCGAATGCGCATTCGTTCAATAAACCCTCTTGCATTTGCAGCTCTTGGTCTGGTTTCTGAGTCTGGGGGGGGGGTCCTCAGGATCCTGAGGCCCTTAGGGGTCTGGGGGTCTTTCAAGGGGGGCATACATATTTTTTAGTTTAAATACACAGATATACCAGTATGACCTAAAGAAGTAACATTACACTATGACTCAAGGGCTAAATCCAACCTACCACCTATTTTAAAGAAATGTTTTATCCACCCCTTCACAACTGGTCAAAATATACAGAGAACAAGTGACTGTGGATTGCACAAACCATTTGATACACCGACAACACAAGCCCTACATATAAGTCTCAGAGAACACTGCGGAAGAGGAAGACCGAAGAGCCAGGGGACCAAGACATCTACTGCAAGACCGTGTCTTCTGCATGGGACAGGGCAGCTACACCCATGAAACTGTTAACAATATGGTCACCTAAGGAAAGTTGGCATGACAGCACTTTTATAAGCCAATGTGGATGGGGAAATCTCACAAGTCCCCACACCTAGATGAAGAGCTACAGGCACTGGCTGTTGAGAGAGGAAGAATCCCTATTCTCTGGGAATGAGTCCCCTGAAAGGTTACTAAGTGGTGAGCCCTAAATGTATGAGAATATATATGCAGCAGTAAATGGATTAACAGGTTTTATTATTTATATGTACGTATATGATCAGAATAATTAAAGAGGAGGTCATGAATTTGAGAGCGTGAAAAAGACATGGGGATGAGGGGAGGGAGAGGGACCTGGGATTGACATGTAAAATAATTTTCTTTCTTTCTTTCTTTTTTTTTTTTTTTGGTTTTTCGAGACAGGGTTTCTCAGTGGCTTTGGAGGCCGTCCTAGAACTAGCTCTTGTAGACCAGGCTGGTCTCGAACTCACATAGATCTGCCTGCCTCTGCCTCCTGAGCGCTGAGATTAAAGGCGTGTGCCACCACCACCTGGCTAATAATTTTCTTTCTAGTAAAAGAAAAAAGGAAAAAATATACAGAGGATTAAAAAAAAAGACATTGGGGTGTAAGTGTAGGACTCATGTCTGAAATTCTCAAAAAAAAAAAAAAGAACACAACAGTTTTTAAATTTAAAAACTGAGGAAGAGGGGAGAAGGGGAAAGAAAGGCTCTGTGGTTAAGAGAACTTCCTGAGGCACACGCATCAGGCACTTTCTTAGGCACTCTCTCATAACCACCTGTAACTACAGCTCTTAGGAATCCAACATTTTCCTTTGGCACCTATATGGGGCTGGAACACACACACACACACACACACACACACACACAGACACACACAGTGTGGGGGCAGTGGAAAAGTTCTCAATACAAAGTTCCTCTGCAGGGCAGTGGTTGTGCATGCCTTTAATCCCAGCACTCGGGAGGCAGAAGCAGGCGGATCTCTTTGAGTTCGAGGTCAGCCTGGTCTTCAAAGAGAGTTCCAGGACAGTGTCCAAACCTACAGAGAAACCCTCTCTCAAAAAACCAATAAATAAATAAATAAATAAATAAATAAATAAATAAACAAGCAAACTTCGACTGTGTGGAGCTTAGGGTACTGGATGGATTCTCAGGAAAGCTATGGAAAGAAGACTAACCCTGTTAGCTTGTGTTTGTATCACTGTTTTGCTAAAAAAGCTTTTTTTTTTTTTTTTTTTTTAATAAGTTCTCCCCCTTTCCTGATGACTACACAGCCTAGAGGGATGTGTTAACTCCCAGGGAATGTGATGAACCTTATAGATCCCCTGTATATTAATGCCAAATTGCTGCCAGATTGTATGTAGGTAGGAAGCCCACACCTGGGTATTATTTTTTTGATCAAAATGTTAGTTACCATGTGTTTTGTTTTGGTGGTGCTAAGGGTAAACCACGAAGCCTCAGACAGGCTAATCGAGGGCTCTGGCACTAAAACTACATTCCTGTTCTGCATCCCCCCCCCCCCCACCTTTTCTCTGGAGCTGGTGATTGAACCCAGTGCTTGGGTGTACTAAGCAAATATTTAATCATCTCAGTTACATCTCCAGCTCTAATCTATTTTTAAAGATCTATTTTTATTTTATGTGGATGAGTGCCTGTTTGCCTGAATGTGTGTATGTGCCAGGACTCTATCCATAGAGATCAGAAGAGAGTGCTGGATTCCCAGGAACTGGAGTTACAGATGGTTATGAGCCATCAGATGGATGCTGGGAACTGAAGCCAAGTCTTCTGCAAGGCAGGAAGTGCATTTGATCATTGAGCCATCTCTCCAGTTCCCCCACTTTTTTTATTGGCTAAAACATGAAATGAAGCTTTGAAAAAATGGCAGTATCACAGACAATGAAGTTTATCCAAGGCACAATTATTGTTAATTGAAAACTTTACCCAAATACTCTTAACAGTTATAGTTGGTGTGGTAATTTTAGTCAGTTGTGAGCTGCCATGTGGGTGCTGGGGAATTGAACCCAGGTCCTCTGAAAGAGCAGGCAGTGCTCCTAACTGCTGAGCCATCTCTCCAGCCCCCAGTGTGATTTCTGTTTGGGTCCATCTATAAACACAGAGAAAGTGCCAGCTATGGTGGTGCTCACTTTTAATCGAGCACTTGAGGCTGAGGCAGATGGGACTCTGTGATTTCTAGGCCAGCCTGGTTTTTATACAGAATTCTAGACAGCCAGGATTAGAGACATCCTATCTCAAAAAACCAAAACACCAAAGCAAGAGAGAATTATGCTAAGTACTGGCAAAGCTTCATGCATCCTTTGTTCTCCTTTACTGATGAAGGATGCAATGGGACCTGCCCTCTCAAGCTCCTGCGAATCCAGTTCCTGCTGTGATGGGTCGGAACCTGTAACTACGAGCTGGAGTGAAAGCTTTCTGCCATATGTTGTGTCGGATTTGCCAGGGTACTTCATCACAGAACCGGATGTAAACTCAGACAATTGCCTTGGCAACTTCTGATGGTCTCTCTGAAGATTCAATATTGTTGATTTAAAATTAGGGAGGAATTTGTGTCATGATATTGAAAAAGACAGATATTTTATGACAAAACTCTAAAATTCAAATTTTAGAATTTCTAAGTAAAGAGAATACAACCATGTTTATTTGCTCAAGCTACAACAGCTGGGCAGCTGTGTCACACATCCTATGGTCCTAAGTACCTAAAATACTATTCTCTAGCCATTCAGTGAAGTACAACACCAGGCCAAAGCACGCCCAAGGAAAAAAGGAATAAGAATCCCTTTAATCCAGATAATATAAAAGTTGAAGTCCTAGATATTATTAGTAGACTAAAAAATAATTTCCTAAGCCGGTCGGTGGTGGTGCACGCCTTTAATTCCAGCACTCAGGAGGCAGAGGCAGGTGGATCTCTGTGAGTTCGAGGCCAGCCTGGTCTACAAGAGCTAGTTCCAGGTCGGCCTCCAAAGCCACAGGGAAACCCTGTCTCAAAAAACAAAACAACAACAACAACAATTTCCTAAATCATGATTTACCTCAACTCATCTGTCCTCATCTGCCCAACCTGTCCCTCCACGTCACCTCTAACTCATTCTTCAGTATCCTATAGGGATCTCCCATGTGCTGTGAAATAATCCTTTTATACACTGTGAAGAGGTGTTGCTCTCATTGATAATAAAAAAGCTGATTGGCTGGTAGCTAGGCAGGAAGTACAGATGGCACAACCAAACTGAGAATTCGGGGAAGAAGAAGGAGTAATCAGAGGAGTTGCCAGGATACTGCAGAGGGAGCAAGACATGCTGGGGGACAGGTAAAGCCACAAGCCGTATGGCAATGCAGAGGTTAATGGAAATGGGTTCATTTAAGTTGCAAGAGCTACTTAGTAATAAGCCTGAGCTACCATCTGAGCATTTGTAATTCATATTAAGTCTCTGTGTTGGTTATTTGGTTGGGAACTGGCAGGAGGGAAAGAAAGATCTACCTATACCACTTCCTTTAAAGAAATCAAATCAGACAACGTTGATTGACATAAAACCAAGAAACACAACCAGAACTTCCCTGCAAACCAAAAAAAGTCACAGATATTTCAATGTCTCACTTCCACTCAGACACCTGGATACTCAGTATGGCACAATACTGAGGAAACTCAGCCTCTAGGGTTTCAATGGGGGATTTTCTAATTCAGAGAAAACATCAGGGCACAGTTGCACACCTATAACCCCAGCATTCTGGAGGTGGAGGCAGGGGAATCAGATGTTCAATTCTTCACTGATCCATCAAGGTTGACATCACAGGACAAATAGCTGTCCTAAAAACTAGAAACATAGGTAAATGCAAAGAACAGCTTCTCAGACTTCAGGCACTGCTGCAGGAGCCAGGGAGGAAGGCTGATACAGCGACCGATTAACTGCTGCAGAATGTAAAATAAGAACTCAGGGTCCAGATCTTTGAGGATGAGCTCTTGGCAGGGGAAATGAAGTAATCACTGTGAAACGAGCCCACATGGTGCTGTATTCCTTAAAATTGGTCAGTCTGCAATCAGCCACAACAATAACAACAAAACAAACAAAAACATCAGTTCAGCAGAGCCTGACCAACTTTACTTTTACCTGAGTGAGCCTAATGTAAGTTCAGCCCCCCTGTAGCATGCCTGATTCACCCAAAAAGCTGAGTACCTGTGAAAGTCACTTACTAAAAGCCTGATGGATAAAAGGACACTTTCCCTTCATGGATATCATCTCATCTTCATCCCCTGCAATGTAGTCAAGGCCAGCTTCAAACTTACCGTCAGTCTCCTGCCTTAGCTTCCCAATTGCTGGGGTTACAGGTGTGCAACACCATGCCCAGTTGTATTATAGCACTTGACCCAGGTGGTGCCACACAGATATTTATTTCACAGGACACTGAGTGGCACACTTCGGTTCTGCCCACCCTCCTACAGGTGCTCTGACATAACACAAAGATTTTTAAACCCAGGAAACAAACGATACTGCTGTCTTTTACTCCAGTATCGCCGAGTACTTCCTTTCCCCCCAAACAGCTGGATTAGTGTTCTTTTTTTTTTTTTGTTGTTGTTGTTGTTTGAGACAGGGTTTCTCTGTGTAGCTTTGGAGCCTATCCTGGCACTGGCTCTAGAGACCAGGCTGGCTTCGAACTCACAGGGATCTGCCTGCCTCTGCCTCCCGAGTGCTGGGATTAAAGGCCTGCGCCAACAACGCCCATCGGATTATCGTTTTCATTCTTTGAATTTTTCTTCCCCACAGTCATGATCATACAATCTTTTCTTACCTCAGATAGGTTTTGTAAAATCCAGATCAATCTTAAGGTAGCGTGCTGGGTGGTGAAATTGAAGCGACTGACTGTTAACATTAGTTTACTTCTACTGAAAAAGTGAAGGACTCGGCAGGAACCACGCAATAGCTGTTTAAAAACAAAAGATATTTTTAAGAAAATGCATTTAATGGTACTTGATTCTGCCCCCCCCCTTTTTTTTTTGAGAAAGGGTCTTATTATGTAGTCCTGGCTGGCCCTGAAATAAAGCTCCACCTGCTTCTGCCTCCCAAGTACTGGGATTAAAGTCTTGTGCCACCAAGTCCAACTTAAGTAGTTGCTTTCTTTCTTTCTTTTTTTTAAAGATTTATTTATTTTATGAGTGCTCTAGTGACTTCATGCCAAATCCCACTATAGATCTTTGTGAGCCACCATGTGGTTGCTGGGAATTGAATTCAAGACCCCTGAAAGAGCAGCCAAAGCTCTTAACCGCTAAGCCATCTCCAGTCTGTAAGAAGTTTCTAATAAAACAAAACACAGAGGCTGGAGAGGTGGCTCAGTGGTTAAGAATACTTGTTGCTCTTGCAGAGCAGCTGAGTCTGGCTCCACCCATCCACAGGGTGCCTAACAACCTTCTGTAACTTCAGCTCCAAGGAATTCAACACCCTCTTCTGACATCTGTGGGAACTGGGCACATGTGTGCACAAACCTACATGCAGACAAAACACTCATACACACAAAACAAAAACAATGAATTAAATCTTTAAAAAATATTTTTTAAGAACAAACAAAAACACAACATGGAGCCAGGCTTAGTGGTGCATACTTCAACCTCAGCACCTGGGAGGCAGGTAGGAAGATGGTCTAAGTCAGGGGCTACAATGGAGACCCTGTGTTAAAGTAAACAAACAGGAGATGGCTCAGAGGCGAAGGTGCTTGTGCACATGAGAGGACTGACATTCTGATCCCCAGAACCAACCTAAATGTCATGAGGCTGTGGAGGCCGACCTGTAACTAACTCTCCAGACACTCCTCTTGCACCAGTTCAGAATGCTACTGTAGCTAAGAAGGCATCTGACCACAGGGCATTAGAAGGCAACATCTGCAATACTGAATACCTGTAATAACATCAATGCTGCCAGCTGCACCCTATCTGAGGGGCGGAAAACTGCTTCATCTTTTCCCTCAATAACAACACACTCAGGAGTGTGGGGTACTTGACAGAATGACACAACGGCAGTTAGTGCATGCTGTTTTTACTGTCATTGTCATCACTCCCCTTTCCTGGTGGCCTACAATGCACCAGGTGTAATGCGAAGAGCTGTGGCTAAATCAATATCCATTCAGTTTGTAAGAAACGATGATGCAATTTGGTAGTTTCAATCCATGCAGTGTTTTTCTTTTCCCAGGCAGAAACATGAATTCTCTTGATCATATGAAACACGGGCCCACCCCAACCCCGCTCCAGCCTTCTTGGGGGTCAGCAATAAAACACATCAATCTACCACAAATGCTTTTACATTTCACTTTTTGGGGAAATGAGTGATTGACTCTTTTAGCCTTAATGTCATAACATATAAAAGGTAGGGGACTCTGCAATTAAGTTTCAGCTAAGAGATATTTATAGCAAAAAGGAAAAACATTTAATTAAAAACTTACCTTCATTACAAGAGAATTATTCCAGGATTTTACAAGTTCAGCTGCCCTTAGGTCTTGCCAACTAATGAAGTTGTGAAAATGATGTCCTGTTCTCCTAGGAAAGATGTTGATAGTAAAGTACAGATCAGATACCAAAGGTCTGCCACAGTCAGCTGGGGATGCTGGCAGGACACTTGCCAGAATGTGGGAGGCCCCAGGTTCAATCCCTAGCATAAAAAAAAAAAAACTGCCCAAAGAGAAAACATAATAAAAAAGACATACCATAATTTTAAAGAATGAAAAAAGACACTATAATTTCAAAATACAATAAAGCAAATGGAACTTTCTATTGACTTCTCTTTGGTTTTTATAAATTGAACACATGCTATAGCAATTGTGTGACATTAACTGGCTATAGCTTATTCAGCACTTGAGAGGCTGAAGTAGGAAGACTGCCACGAGTTGGGCTACAGAGTGAGACGTGTTTCATAAGCCACGCCCCCCCCAGAAATATTATGTAACATATAGTATCAGATTTTGAATAGACTCTACCCAAAAGGACTGTACTTTTGAAACAATGTGACATGTAAACTTTCAACAACAAAAGCGCTGCCAAGGCCTTACACATATGCTCTATGTTTTAAAGAGTTAAGAGGCCTGGCAGGGTAGCACAGGCCTTTAATCCCAGCACTACAGAGGCAGCCTGGTCTACACAGCAAGCTCCAGGTCAGCCAGGGCTGCATAGTAAGATTCTGTCTCACAAAACAAAAAATAAAACAAACAAAAAGCCAATGGTTTCCCCTCCCTCATGCTCACCCTTACACAATCACATACAAACTTCTGACCCACAGCAGGTCTACAGTACTCTTCAGCCTCTCCGTATCTCTCAGCTTTAGACCTTGGTATCTAATACGATTACCAAGATGCGGCCAATCAAGAAAAGGGCCAGTGAGATGGCTCAGCAGGTAAGTGCCTGCCGCTGAGCCTGATAACCTGAGTTCAACGTCAGTGGAAGGAAAGAACAAACTCCCAAATATGTTTCTACACACATGGTGACTGACACATATAGACAATATGCAATAATATTTCATTGTATCTGATGTATGGGTGTTTTCTCTGTGTATGTCTGCATACCACATGCATCAAGAGCCTGCAGAGGTCAGAAGAGGTCATCGATTCCTTAGAATTGGAGTTTATTAGTCATATTAGATGGTTAATGGCCATCGTGTGGGTGCTGAGAATCAAACATGGGTCCAGCTCCCAGTAATAAATTAAAAGGAAAAAAGAAAAACAAAAGCCAGGCATGGTGACACATGCCTGTAATCTCATTAAGAAGGCCAAAAGCAGGAAGACTGCAGTGAATGCAGAGCCAGCCTGATCTACCAGGGATAGATGAGACTTTATCTCAAAATTAATTAATTATCTTCTGGTGGTGGCAAAAACAAGGAGGAACACTGAATAGGCAAGAGGATGAGTTCAAGGCCCGCCTGGGCTTCACCATTCTCTTTGAAAGAACAAGACAAAGCAAAGCAAAACCTAGCAAACCCTGGGTCAATACAATAACAGTACAGAGCTAAGAAATAAAGAAAAAAAGCCATCTTCTTCTGAGGCTCCTGCAAGTTACCCATGGTGTGTACTAATATTTTTCCTTAAATTTTTTTTTCTTTTTTTTTTTTACAGTGCTGGAGATTGAACCTAGGACCTGAGCTGCATGCCCCAGTCCTGACCTCTTCTATCCAAACACAGGCCTTTTTCTTTGTCAATTTAAACATCTTCAATTCCTAATACTATCACTCCACCGTTCACTTGAGCAGCCCATACCCCTTGTCATTTCTTCACTGGTTTCAGCAAACATTTTGGAAGGTATTTGTTCCAGAAGATAGAGACAGAGCAGTGAACAGAACACAGGCCTTTTTGCTCTGGTGAATATACTTTTACCATGGGACTCAAATAAATAATGACCCCATCGCTTACAGACAACAGGAACAAGCCCCATGAAGGACAAATACAGGCTCTGAGGAACCACAGCATGAACTAGGAGTTAAGTGCTCTGACAGAATGGCTGTTGAGTGTTCAAAGGCCAGAAGGTAGATGGAGCACAGAGAAGCCAAAAGTCTAGCTGAAGAGGAGAAAAATCACAAGATGGAAATGGGGCTAACTTAAAATGCAATATAAAACAATCTAGACGCTGATTTCAAGTGTCGGCATACACTCCGATATTCAATTAACATAGAACTAGGTTAGTTTTAGCTCTATAAGAGGGGAAAACAGAGAGGAACACGAATGACAATATCTTAAACAAACAGCTTCAATCCTGGTAACACTTCACACCCTTCTGTGGCTGTTAACATACTTGGTGTCAGAAACAATTAGTAATAACCATCAACACAAGCATCAGATGCTACAGTGAAAGCCACATCTGGCTGAGAACAGAGTCGTTTATATAGGGCAATGGGAATATAAATCCCCGAGGACACTGCCTTCCCCTCGCCTTTGTGTTCAGTTCCGCAAGCAGCAGAGTCATTGGCTGAGAACCTCAGCAGTTATTGAGTGATCCCAGTTTGTGACTCACATTTTACACTGCTAATTGGCACACACCCTGATCTGGGGCTGGCTGGCAAAATCTCCCTGAGAGACTCAGCAACTGAAGAAACAAACAAGTCGTGATTTTTCAAAAGCAGCAAAATGGAGGAAATACGACATAATTATTGCAGAAAGCAAGCTAAGTACACCATGGACTAAACATGAAAAAAAAAAAAGGTTTAGCTCAAAAGAATATGAAAAAATTAAGAACTGAATAACACTGAGCTTCCTGGTTTTGTGGGAGTATGGGGCGGAGAGGCTCAAGGAGAAAACTTAAAGTTCCAAGTTTTAAACTTCTTGATATGAATGCCATAAGGAAAATCAGTTTCTAAGGCCATGAAGACAGGAATGCACCATGGTCACAAACAAACAAAAACAAAACAAACAAACAAAAAAAGCCCAACATGATAGCTCACACCTGCAATCTCCAATTCAGGAAAGTGAAGCAAGAGAATTACCACAAATTTGAGGGCAGTTTGGGCTATTATTTAGTGAAAGCTTATCTCAAACAAAGATACATAGCCAAAGAGATGGCCAGTGGGCAAAAAGTCACTTTCAGTGTGCACTTTTAATCCAGGAGCTGGAGAGGCAGAGACGGGAGGCCCAGACAGTCCAGTCAACTGGTCAGCTCCAGGTTCAGTGAAAAACTCTGACTCAAAACTAAGGCAGAGACCAACAGAGGAAGAGTGTTAATCTTTGGCCTCTATGGCACACACACACACACACACACACACACACACACACACACACACACACACACACACACACACACACACAAGAGAGAGAGAGAGAGAGAGAGAGAGAGAGAGAGAGAGAGAACAGAACAGGAAGGAAAGGAAAGGAAAGGAAAGGAAAGGAAAGGAAAGGAAAGGAAAAGAAAGGAAAAGAAAGGAAAAGAAAGGAAAGGAAAGGAGCTGACTGGCCTGGAACAATGGCTGTTGCACGGGTTCCAATCTGTCTCTCAGTGGAACATGACATACTCTCTGCTCACTCTGAGCTATCTGATCTGGTGTTGTCGTCTTTGCATTTATGGGGAGTCGGTGGATGGTGCCATCTTGACATACCACAGTAACTCACTACTGCCAGATGGGCAGAATAAGACTTCATTATTTCATCATAAAACAAGAATGAGGCCATACACATTTCTTCAAAATGTGTCCATATTTCAGATTTTGCCTGCAAAAAGTTTTCCCAAAATTCATAAAATATAAACATTTCAAGACAAAAAAAAAAAAGGACAGTGAAGTAAACAAATTCACAATAAATTGTTTGACTGTTACACCAGTACAGTACCTGAACTGTATCAGAGCCTGAGCAACTTTTTCTAAAATTAAAGTGTTGTCCCACTGTCACAGAAAAACTATTGCCTAATACTTGCCTTCCTGCCATGGATGACAGAGCAGCCTGGTTTTAACGAAAACAATTTAAGGGACCAATGACCTTATCTCCAATTCTGACCAATAGGGCTATCTCCAGCCAATCTCTTCCCTGGGAACTCTCTCCAGCCTCCACCTCCCCATACATACTTCTCGAGGGTGCCTTGGCATTGCTTTGCCAGCCTTCCTCCTGGCCCTGAATCTCCTTAAGGCTGAGGGAAGAAAACGTCAGTGTAAAGCTGTGTTCTGCTTCTCTTTTTTCCACACAGTGTCTACCAGAGATAACATGCCTGCTTCTGGAAGCTTCTGCTGGCCATTCTCAAGTGAGAGCAATTTTACAATGTCTGGAGACATTTGAGTTTGTCCTGAGGGCGGGATATCTACAATGCACAAAACATCCTGAATGAGTCACCCAACACAAGGTGCCACAGGCTGGGTCTGCTGCTCCTTTGGATTTATTTCGCATTATAGATTTTTATTTGTTTTTGAGACAAGGTTTCACTATATAGCCCAGGCCAGCCATGAACTAGTAGCCTCTTGCTGCCTTAGCCATGTGAGTGCTGGGATTACCGGTGTGAGCCACCAAGCCTGGCTCACAGGAAAGAAGAAAACTTTCTTCCTCTGGCCTAATACAGACAGAATCAAAAGCCAGATCCTTGGGAATTCACCCTGATTCTATCTTTAAGCTTAGCTCCTCCTCTCACCTTTTCACCTGGTTGCCAGAGCTCAAGACGTCCTACAGAATCTAGAGTATTAATTAAAAAAAAAAAAAATCTCAGAGTTTTGTTTCCCCTTTCATTTTGACTTGTTCCTCTACAATGCTAGGCTGGTCTTGAACTCCTGGACTTAAGCAATCCTCCAGACCCAGATCTCTGAATGCTGGGACAGCAGGCACATGCTACCACCATGTCCAGTTCCTTTTTATTGTTATTTCTGGTTGTGAGCCTAGCCTTTAATGGCTAAGCCATCTATCCAGCCCTTATTGTTATTTTAAAAGTAGAAAAACCCACAAATATTGAAGGCAAGATGGTAGTATTTAAAAATATCAGGCTTCACAGTTAAAACAACAACAAACAAAAGACAAAATGATCTGGGGCTGAGGATACTGCTCAATGGCAGAGCACTGGCCTGGCCCCTTGAGGCCCTAGATCCAATCCACAACACTTTAAAAAAAAAAAAAAGTGACATAACAAACAAAAAAAATCAAGCCAATAGCTAGTTTAGAATCCTGACTCTAGTCACTGAGTGGTCTTGAACAACCTACCAATATCTTAGCTTCAGTTTCTGCCCTGGTGTGTTGTCCAGATGGTGAAAGTCGAACAGCAAAGGTGCGCTTTATCACTTACACCTCAGACACTGCAGACGCTAACATACTAACCTGAGAATGTAAGCCTAAGTTGTGCTATGTTCTCACATGTTAGGACCCCTGACTTTCCTTAAGTATAAGGCAGCTTTTTCAGACCTTTGTGTTCATTGGGAAAGTCAACTTACCCCAAAGAGAGGAACAGAGAATTTCATCTCCTCATTGCTATTTCAAGTTTTCTTTTGAAATAAATGGGTGCTCTCTGTGTTGCCCAGGCTGCCCTCAGACTCAGCTCAAGCGATCCTCCTGCCTCAGCTTCCCAAGTGCTGGAACTGTAGGTCTGTATGTTCCACTCTGCCCCTTTCTTTTCTGTACGGTTTTGATTTCACTAAGTGTACTCCTGAAGTGGGTGCCATGCCTGGCTTCTTTCTCATTATTGAAGTTAAGATCAGATGAAGCACAAGGAGTAGCTGAGCCAAAATGGAAGCCCATCTTAATCTCATTTGAATCTCTTGTAGCTAAACACAACGGTTTTCTATTCACAAACTGAAAACTCCCCGGACAGGTTCCCGAGCAGCCAACTCCCTGAAGCAGTTCGGGCCACACAAAGCACTTACTTGTTCCATGTAATAAAAGTGGCTCTCTGCGTTGATATGCCAAGACCGACAATTTGATGCATCTGTACTCCTGCAGCTAAAGGTAAAGACAGTTAAGACAAGTTTAAAAGTCAATGAAGTTTAACTGTTTAACATACAGTATGGAATCTCTGACAAGAATGTCTGAGCTCCACAAGCAAGCAAAGCCTTACTAAGAATTATTTTGCATTATTTTTACTTAAAAGGAAAAAAGATACCATAATAATAACAAAAAATGCCCCTTTAAAAGTTTAAATGATAGAAAAACAAATACTGTTCAGTCACACTATCTTTTTTTCCTGATAATACTAAAGACCTTAGTTTAGTTTTAGTTTAGGCAATAACCAATTACAATAGAAGCTGCCTGACAATGCTGAATGGAAATCTTTAGGGAAATTAGTGTAATTGCTGAAGTTGAGATCATAATTTTCCAACATAAACAGATGAAATATTGAAATAAAATCATGAGTTTTGTTTTTGTTTGTTTTGTTCTTCTGAAACAGGTCTAATTCTGTAGGCCAGGTTGGCCCTGCACTTACTACCTAGGCCAACAGCAATCCCTCTTGCCCCACCAACCTGAGTGCTAGGAGTACAGGCGTGGACCTCCACACACGGTTAACATTAAGGCTTTGGTTGTTGTTACTTTGTTATTACTTTGTAAAGGTTTATTTTTATCCATCTGACTTCTTAAAAAATTTTTTATTTTATGTGCATTGGTGTTTTGTCTGCATTCATGTCTGTGTAAGGGTGTTGGATTCCCCAGAACTGTAGCTACAGACAGTTATGAGCTGCCATTGAACTGTCATGTGGGTGCTGGGAATTGAACCCCGGTCCTCTGGAAGGGTAGCCAGCGCTCTTAACCACTGAGCCATATCTCCAGCCCTCTTTTCCCTTTCTTAAGACAGGGTCTCCTAAACAGTTCAAGGTGATCTCAAGTGTTAGAATGGGTAACCCTGCACCAAGGGACCATACAGGAAAAACCACTTACCTTGCAATAAAGGTAAATGGATTGTGAACTGGTAAAGAAGGAACAGTACATAGTAATGGTTTCTAACCCTCTGGATGCTGCAGCCACCAGGAAACCAGATGAGCCCTAGCTGTGACCTGGGGCATTTATTTACCCTATAGCAGAAAAACTAGAACATGGCTGTTGTTACTTTTCCTTGACAAAATAGTTGACCATAAACCACAAATCTCTGAGTAAAACACCGTGAAACTGTAACACCAAGGCCATATATATAAGATCATATATATGTGATAATATATAAATGATGTAATATAAAAAGACTATATATGAAATATAATATGATAAATGATATATATATAATTGTATTTATATATTTATATGTATTATATATATTATAAATGATATATGTAACATACAAAATATAAAAGACCATAGAAATAATATATATATATATATATATATATATATATATATATATATATCTTACAAATAGAAATCCACAAAATTATCCCAAAGGCAGAGGAAAACTCATCAGGAAAAAGTTCACTGTAGGCCAGACAGTGGTAGCACACACCTTTACTCCCAGCACTCGGGAGGCAGAGCAGGCAGATCTCTGTGAGTTTGAGGCCAGCTGGTCTACAAAGCCAGTTCCAGGACAGCCAGGGCTGTTACACAGAGAAACGGTGTCTCAAAAACCAAAACCAACCAAACAAACAAACAAACAAAGTGCACTGTAGACTACAGTCTTTTTATAAATCCTATTACCTTTTACAGCATCTTTTATTACAGCAACAAACTGAGCCCAGAGAGCATCAGGATCGATTTCAACCCAGCCAGGCTGAGGGTAAACATTTTCCACCTATTCATGAAAACAGAAGGTTTAGTGAGAGTGGAATTAGACTAAGCTGATAATAGCTACATCTTAAGACTACTAGTTAACATAATTAACATGATTGCATATAATTATTTTTTACTGCTCAAAAAGAGCTGGGTATAGCTCAATGTTGGTATGTGTAAAACCACGGGTTCATTCTCTATCTCACTCCCAGATGTTGAAAAGAAAGTACATGAGGAATAGAGCTGTAACCCAATACCAACACAGCAGTATCTATGAGTTTACAGAGGGTTTTACACTTAATTTATTTTAGCTTTACATTCATTCTTCAAGATTTCTACAGTATGGCGTTTTGTAATGATGATACAAAAGATTTCTTTAAACATTGTTGTGTAAAACAAAGAAAAAAACTTCTGAAAAGAAAAGAAGAGGAGGAAGAAAGCATGACAGTCGGGCTTTAATGCCAGTACCCAGGAGCTGAAGCGAAAAGGATGCCTCAAGTTGGAACAACCTGAGCTACACTGTGAGTTCCAGGACAGCCTGGGCTACACAGCAAAACCCTTACACAAAATTAACAGCAACAGACTGGGCGTCAGTGGTGCTCACCTTTGATCCCAGCACTTGGGAAGCAGAGGCAGGCGGATCTCTGAGTTTGGGGCCAGCCTGGTCTCCAGAGAGAGTGCCAGGACAGTCTCCAAAGCTACACAGAGAAACCCTGTCTTGAAAAACCAAAATATAAAATAAAATAAAATAAAAAAGAAAATTAACAGCAACAACAACAAAGACAGAGAGAGAGAGACAGAGAGAGAGAGAGACAGAGAGAGAGACAGAGAGAGAGACAGAGAGAGAGATACGGCCAGGCAGTGTTGGCACACGCTTTTAATCCCAGCACTCAGGAGGTAGAGTAGGTAGATCTATGTGAGTTTAAGGCCAGCCTGGTCTACAGAGCGAGTTCCAGGACAGCCTCCAAAGCTATGGAGAAACACTGTCTCAAAACAAACAAACAAACAAACAAAAAAACAAAAACAAAAACAAAAAACAAAAGGAAGGTAGCAAGACTAGCAGGGAGAAGAGGAAGGAAAGATGACCCGGGAGGCTGTGGATTAACTCCTGAGTCCACAGGAAGCCGGGCTGGTAGGGATGTGTCACTAAAGAGCAAACCAAAGATGTTAGAATGAAGACAGATCACAGCCCAGTTCCTGCCTGATTACTCAGTTGTGCACACACAAGGACATATTTGAAACAACACAAGATGTTAGCCAAACAGTGGCTCCTAACACTTGGAGGCAGAGGCAGAAGAATCATGAGTTGTAGACCAGTCTGGACTACACAGGGAGAACTTTTCTTAAGAAACCTAAACAAACAAACAAACAAACAAATAAATAAATAAATAATAAAATAGGCAAATGAACTAATAAAATAAATGTTCCTGGCACGGTAGCATTACGCGCATATAATATCCTAGTAATTGGGAGGCAGAAGCAGGAAGTTCAGGGGTTCAAGATCATCCCTGACTACATGGATAGTTCAAAGCTACCCTGTGTCATGAAATCAGAGAAGGGAAGGAAGGAGGGGAGGGGCAGAAAGCGAGCACAGTGAAACAAATCATACATTAGTAAAAAATAGCTGCCTATTAATATCCAACATAGACTTAGATCCAGAATATATAAAGAAAGCTCAACAAACAAATGACAATCCAATTTTAAAATGAGCAGAACAGTAAAACAAGCACTTCCCAAACAAAATGTACAGATGGTAAATAAGCACATTAAGACATTAAACTTCCTTAACCATTAGAAAGAAACAAACTGACAGGTGTGGTGGTACACGCCTTTAGTCCCAGCACTGGGAGGCAGAGGCAGGAGCATCTTTGTGAGTTCAAGGTCAGCCTGGTCTACATATGGAGGCCCTACCTCAACAGAACAAAAAAGTAAATAAACAAATGAAAGCAAGCAAGCAAGCAAGCGCCGGGTCGTGGTGGTGCACGCCTTTAATCCCAGCACTTGGGAGGCAGAGGCAGGCGGATCTCTGTGAGTTCAAGGCCAGCCTGGTCTACAAGAGCTAGTTCCAGGATAGCCTCCAAAGCCGCAGAGAAACCCTGTCTCAAAAAACCAAAAAAAAAAAAAAAAGAAAAAGAAAGAAAGGAAGGAAGAAAGAGAGAAAGAAAGAAACCCGTTGGAACTGGAGATGGCTCAGCAGTTAGAGCATTGGCTGCTGTGCAGTGGACCTGGATTCAATTGTCAGCATCCGCATGGTGGCTCACATGGCTCTCCCAGTTCCAGCAAATCTAATGGCCTCCATCCTGGTCCTCATGCTCACTGCACATAAATGGTACACATACACACATGCAGGTAAAAGAGCCATACACATATGTTAAAGATTTTAAAATATAAAAAAATTAAAAATAAACAAAACTAGTGTGTTACCACTAACTGTAGATAAGAAAAAGGTGATAGTAAACTAGGCACTGGCAAGAATGCTCAGCAATGAAGGTACCTGACTCCCATCCTCAGAAGTCAGACACTGGTAGAAAGAGAACTAATGTTACAAAGCTGCCCTTCTGGCATCCATAGGAACGCTCAGGCATTGTGCCTACACACACACATACTGTACATTCCCACACAGGCAGGCAGGCATGAGCAGGTGCACACACACACACAACAGCAATAGTAAATGTAAATAAATACATAAGCCAAACAGTAATAAATACTGGATGGATATGCAAAATAACTGGGTCTCTGTGAACTGCTAGAAAGAATGCAAAATGGTACAACCAATGTAGAAAAGGGCTGGCTCTTTTTGTTTTGTTTTTGTTTGGTGTGCAGTAGTGTGGTTTGATATAATTTTGAGACAACATTTCACATATAGTTCAGACTGGGCCCAAACTCTTGGCTTAGCTGAAGATGACTAATTAGATGAACTGCTAATTCTCCTGCCTCGACCTTCCAAGTGTTAGGATTACAGTGTGTGTCTACACCCCCAGCTCAGCAATTTCTTATTAGGATAAGCATTCCTTTCCAGGCATGATGGTGCCTTTAATTCTAGCATTCAGGAAACAGAGGCAGGAGGATCTCTGTGAGGCCAGCCTTGTCTACATAGTGAGTTCTAGGTCAGCCAAGGTTACACAGTGAGCATGTGTCTTTAAAAAAAAAAAAAAGATACACACACTTATTTACCATATGCCAACACACCCACTCCTACCTAAGTATTTACCCTAGAGAAATGAGAACACATGCGCCCATTGAAATCTGTTTATAGCAAAATATAAATGTTTACATTTTCTATTCATAACTACCAAAAACTGAAAACAATCCAAACAGACCTCAATAGGAGAATGAACGTGGTAAGTCTGTACGATGGGTTACCATCAGAAATAAGATGGGATGGGTTGGGTTTGAGATTCAGTTCAGTGGTAGAACATTTGCCTAGCAAGGGCAAGGCCCTGGTTCAGTCCCCAGGACTAGAAAGAAAACAAACAAACAAACAAGCCAAGAATCAACTGTGAATACACATGGCATGGGCCAATCTCAAAAGGCTATTAGCTGAATAAAGCTGGCCTGAGATGCCTACTTGTATATGATTCTATAGAAGACATTTCTTTTTCCATTGTTCTTGGGGTTTTGTTGTTGTTGTTTTTAATTCCAGAAGAAAGAAATGTCTATGCAGCACACTGCAAGGGGTGGCAGGCTGCAGAGCAACAACCTTGAGTTGCCCCTCCTGCCTCAGCCTCCCATGATTAAAATCATATCCAATTTGTGTGTATGTGATATGTATGTTTGCATGCATGTTTGAACATATGTGGGTGCACACACATGCATGTGTGTATGGAGAGGTCTTAGTTCCTTTACCTCTTGTTATGATAAAATGCCCTGATAAAAGCCAACTGAAGGGCAACCCTTTCTCAGGACCTTCTCCAGTTACATAGGAGCTGTCTGCTTCCTTTCTCTTATGCTCTCATAATAATAAAGTTTCTAAGAAAACAAAAGCAAAAACAAATCAACCTAAGCGTCAAAGGGTTTATTCTGGCTACAGTTCAAGGGTACAGCCTATCATGTCAGGCAAGTTAAGGAGGCAGGAGCTGTTCACACTGTATCCAGAGTCAGGAACAGAGTAATCAATGCCCTGCTCACAGTCCCCACTGTCTATGGGGCATATCCCTGCCAAACCTGCAGTTAGGATGGTCCTCCCACTCTAATAGAGTCATTAAGAGAAGAGACACACTCCCAGATGATTTCAGATCCTGTCAGATTGACAGTTAACACTGACCACCCAAGACCATCGAGGTAGAGGCTCTTACTTGGATCTGGGACTGATAGCTCCAGCAACCCCTCCTCCACCATGGAAGCACTGGGTCATGGGTGGGCTGCCATGCTCACCCAATATCAACGTGGGAACTGGAGATCCAGTCCTCATGCCTGTAGAGCAAGCACGATATCCGCTGAACTAGATCCCCAGTCCCACACTAATTTTTATATGATAATCTTCAGAAGACAAAACTATGTAATGCAGAAAGAGATAGACGTGGTACTGGAGGTACCACACAGTGGTGTGTGAAGGAGATTTTAGGTTAGTGTCATAGGTGCTAAAACTCATAGAACTATATACAAAAAAAATCTCTAGCTGGGTGGTGGAGGTCCACCCCTTTAATCCCAGCACTCGGGAGGCAGAGGCAGCAGGATCTCTGTGAGTTCAAGGTCTACAGATCAAGTTTCAGGACAGCCAGAGAAACCCTGTCTCGACCTCCCCCCTCCCCAAAATCTACATTTTACATTTTAACTTTGTGGTAATTTTTTTAAAAATTCAGATCGAGTTCCAAGACAGCCAAGGCTACACAGAGAAACCTTATCTTGGAAAAAACAAAACAAACAAAAACTCCACTCCTTTTTGCGGTCTTGCACCTAAGTGCAGGTGTGCACATCTTGTGTGGAGGTCAGAGATCCTGGTATCTAGCTAGGGTGTGCCACGGCACCTTGCTTTTGTTTTTGTATTGTTTTTTCATTTTATTTTAGTTAATAGTTAAAAATAAAAATGTTTTAAGGGGATAGAGAGATGGCTTAGTTGTTAAGAGCACTTGCTGTTCTTTCTTAGTAGCTGAGTTCGGTTCCCAGCACCCATGTCAGGCAGCTCACAGCCGTCTTTAGCTCCAGCTCTACCCTCTGCAGGCTAGGGCATACATGAGGCATACACTCTCACACACAAACGTACATACCCATAAATAACAATTTAAAAATATTCCTTTAAAAATGTTTTAGGAGCCTATAGCTTAAAGTTTAACTGATGATTTGAACTTATCCCCGACACTTTTCAAGACTCTGCTAAAAGAAAAACATCAAAAATAGCTTAAAGATAACCAGGTATGGGCTACACACCTGTTATCCCTGTACCCAAGAGGCCTGGTTTGAGTTCCAGGGCAGCTTGGATTACAAATGGAGACCTTGTCTCAAAAAGAAGGTACCAGGACATGGACAAAGAGAAAAGAACAAACAGGATCAGACTGGATTTAATATAAGTGCACAGAGAATGGGCAGGTGACAAAAGCTTGGCACAGGAGGCAATGCCCTGCTCGAATTACACTGACACTTCCGTTAACCCCTTCTCATTTCACTCCAAGTAAAGCCTTTATTCCTTCTAGTACCCTATGAGACCTGAGTCACATCGCCTCTCCTCTGCCCCCAGAGAGGGACACCCACAGGTGTCTTCTCTGTTCATTTTTCCCTCAGCATCTGAGTGCCTATAACATCACAGGCACTTTGGAGACCAAGGGGCCGTGTGCCAGTCACCAAACTCTCAGAGAACAAACAGCCCATAGCAGAGACTGGGGATTCTAAAGCCAAGCCCTGGAAAAGGGAGGACACAGAAACAGAGTCAATTGGTTGTCAGGCTCCCTGATACCACTTAGCCCCACCACTGCTTCTCATTGCTGTGAACCAGGATACTAGATTTCTCCCTGGAGAGGATGTGCCTACAAATTATTAGCCAGAGTTTGGTGCTTCTGGGAAAGCATGGTACTGAAAAAATGAGCAGACAACCCACCATGAGTACCATTTGAAGGAACTTTCCAACATGGAAAAAGTGGTCATGATTGGAAAGCTGGGGGCGACTTAAGTAACAAAGTTATGGGGGGGGCGATCTGCTGTTCTCTTATTGCTTTCCTCAGAAGCAGGTTCAACAAAATCTACTCCCCTCCCACCCAGCAATTCTGCAAGGCTTTCCTGATTGTTAGATTGTTTCAACTGCAACAGACAGTTCTTCCCTCAAAACAGCTTCATGTGGGTAAACCTTGCTTCAAGCTTCCAAGCCTTTATACCTAATGGATGGACTTAGGGATAACATCCCTACACGGCACCCATCTGGACAGCTCATGGCCATTTCCGTTTTCAGCGGCTATAACACAACACCTGAGGTTTTCATAGTTCAGTTTTTAGAAGCTTGTAGTTCAAAAGTGAGGGTGCAGGGAGGAGGGAGGGGGTTAGAGGAAGGAGGAGGGAGGGGAAGGGAAGGAGGAGGAGGAGGAGGAGGAGGAGGAGGAGGAGGAGGAGGAGGAAACAGGAAGCAGAGAGCAGGAAGGCAGTGTTCTGGCTGTGTGTTAAGCAGGAAGTACCTTAATCCCCTCTAAGGACAGCTCTCTTGTGATCTGATGGTTTCTCCCTACCACCTCTTACAGATTTTTTCAGCTCTCAAAGCACCACACTGGCTGCCAAGATTCCAACACTTAATTAATCCTTAGGAACAAACTCCAAACACTGGAATCCCTGAACATGTAACATGAGAAAGGTGTCCCTATGGAAGAGCACTAAGCCAACAGGAGAAAACAGTGAAAGTGAAGAAGGAAACACCTTCTGCTGGTTAAAAGGCAGAGTCCTTGTTCAAGAGTGAACCTGGCTTTCCAGTGCCGGAGGCCCCGAAGCCTCCATGCTGGGCCTTCTATCCTGCTCCTCCACACATCACGCTCCATGGGTTTTCACAGAAGCACTGCAGGGGAGCATGAAAAGTTTTCTCCAATTTCCAAAACAAAGTATCAAATACACATGCGGGAGCTGCAAATATGGACCATTGTTCTAGTATTTAACACCAATATTTAAGGTTCCGTTATAAAGACTGTGTGTGTGTGTGTGTGTGTGTGTGTGTGTGTGTGTGTGTGTGTGTGTGTGTGTTCTGTGTGTGGATAAATGCTTATGCCACAGAGCATGTAAGAAGGTCTGAGGTCAACTTGGGCAAGTCATTACTCTCCTTCTACCAAGTGGCTCCAAGGAATCTATCTCAGGTGATCAGACTTGGCAGCAAGTGACCTTACCCACTGATCCAGCTTGATGGTCCCAAGAAAGACTTAAAAAAATAAAATAAAACAAAACCCAATTACTGGGGTTGAGGATGTAACATGCAGGATCTTATGGGGTAGGGTAGGGGTTCTCCATCATCACCATAACGAAATGAAAAGAAAATATTACTGAAGTTTCCTGAGACACCTCATATAAATTCAATGCAAAGGTTCATGTTTGGATTTCAATTTTAACTTAAAAGATCATGGGAGCCTGTCCTGCTTGTGCATCCAAAGGATGACCTCCTCTTGCTTTTATTTCTTTTTCATGTGACTTGTTTGGCTATATGAATCAAATCCACCTACACTAAGATTTTAGGGTTTTTTATGCATAATACTTCCATTGTATTAGAAGGGGTATAACTTCCCCTTTAAGGGTTTTAAGATTTTAGGGTTTTTTATGCATAATACTTCCATTGTATTAGAAGGGGTATAACTTCCCCTTTAAGGGTTTTAAGATTTTAGGGTTTTTTATGCATAATACTTCCATTGTATTAGAAGGGGTATAACTTCCCCATTAAGAAGACAGACACAGGACCAGAGAGATGGCTCAGAAGTTAAGAGCACTGGATGTTCTTTTAAAGGACCTGGGTTCAATTCCCACCACCCACATGACAGCTCATAACTGTAACTCCCATTCCAGAGGATCTGGCACCCTTAAACAGACATACACATAGACAAAACACCAATGCACAAAAAATAAATATTTTAAAAGACAGACACAAATTATATGGTTAAGTCACATAACCCATGAAGTAAACTGAATTCCTAGCATTTTTATTAACTGCATATCATTTATTCTATTTTTACTGCATTTAATTTTGAGACAAGGTCTCACTGTATAGCCCTGGTTGGCCTGAAACTCATTCTGTAGACCAGGCTTGGCCTTGAACTCAGAGATCCGATCACTTCTGCATCAAATTCACAGAGATCCACCTGCCTCTGCCTCCCGAATGCTGGGATTAAGGGCTTGTGCCATTACTGTCTGGCGTGTCTACCAACTTGCTAAATTTTCTTAAAATTTATATTTATGGGGGGCACACTTGTGCTATGGCTTAAAGTGCAGAGGTCAGAGGACAACTTGCAGGAGACAGTTCTTTCCTCTCTCAATGTCCCTCCCAGGGATATCATTCAGGGTGTCAAGCTTAGGAGCAATGCACCGTCATCTTTAACTGCTGAGCTGTCTCCTTTTTGATCCAAATACTCATTCATTAAATAGAAAAACTAAAAAGTATCATTGTGTATGTGATAAAGACTTGCTCAGTGTCTGCTTTCTATCCGTCCTTTCAGGTTGGAACAGGGATGGGTGAAGTGGGTGTACCATGCTCTTACACAGCTAGCCAGCCAGAGAGGGAGCTGCTGCAGAACCAACTAACCGCCTACTACAGAAGCCCGAGTGAAGTCTATTTCCTTTAAGTACATGTTCAAGGCAGTCACTACTTACTTTTTCACTCTAGCCAGTGAGATTCCTAGGAAATTGCTGAGATGAAAAACACCCACAAAGTGAGAGGGTAGCACACTGAAAAAAAAGAGTCCAGTACTGTGGGGAAGGAGTTAGATGTCTCTCGTCTTTGCTAAAAGTTTAAACATTAGACAATGCTGGCACTGGTGGTGCATATACCAGGAGGCAGAGACAGGTGAATCTCTAAGTTCAAGGCCAGCCTGGTTTACAAATTGAATTCCAAGACAACCAGAGCTGTTACACAGAGAAACCCTGTCTTAAAAAAAAAAAAGAAGAAGAAGAAGAGGAGGAAGAGGATAAGAAGGAGAAACAGGAGGAGGAGGAGGAGGAGGAGGAAATAATGCTGGTATTGAAAGGAATAAATAAGAACACTACACCAAATCAACTGCATTGACATTGTATGGAAATCAGCACTCTGCCTGTTGACCAATATCATGGGCAGTTTAAATCTTTGCTTACAATGATCAACCAATAGCTTGGCAGGCTTCTCAAGCCAGAAGGTATTTTTTATGAATTCTCAAAGATAGAAAGAAGTAAGGACAACTCAGCTTTCAAAACTTGTTCAGTATCTCCGATATCAATGGAAGTCAGATTCTAATGTGAGTACCTAGCACTTTTAGGAACACAAAGATGAGAACTAGTAAGATGGCTTGGCAGGTAAAAAAGTACTTCTACCAAACCTGACAACCTGAGTTCAATTCCAGGGACAAACATGATGGAAGGAGAAAACGGATACCCAAGAAAGTTGTCCTCTGACCACGCGAAGTGCATCACAGCCAGTGAGCACATACAGATACACATACTAAGTAAATGTAATGAATTGTTTTTAAATGACACAACCGAAAAACGTAAGTTTACAGTCCATCAAAATCTGAAGAACTAAAATGTGTGAACACAGAGTTGGAAAGTCGATGAGGAAGTGCAGAAAAACCAAGCAAACCTCCTTCTGTCCACATACACGCAGCCTGCCCGCGCCGCCCCGCGAGTCACCTCGGTTCCACCCAGGTAAAGCTAGACGATGAGTCCCGAGGGACAGGAAGCGAGGGACAGGGGCCGGGCCACACCGGCCTGAGTCCCCAGAGGTGCAGAAAGGGCGAGGGTGCAGTCAGAGCCCCAACCCACCCTCGGCGCCCAGTCAGTCACCTTCTGTGCGCTGGAGCCTCGCACCC